TCAGTGCCGGTACTGTGCCATGTCGTGCGCCTTGAGGGGCCCATACGTGCCATGCGCCACATGCCCGCGCCCCTAACCCACACACGCCTGTGTAACCACGAGGGTCGTCTCTGATACCATTTTGTAACACCACCCTTGGGCTGGTAGTCATTACTCCCGACTATCATTAGGCTCAGGATTAGCCCACAGACCAACACGAGTCTTTCCGGCACATTTTGTCCTCACTCGTACGCGCCCTGGGAAACTTCCAAGTCAGTCATCCATCCCCATATTGCTCTCAGCCAAGCACGCTTAACCAGAAGGTTCTTAGGAGATGAGCTTCCAGAAAAGAAGGTGCATCTTGTTACAAGAGGGCTCTTGTCTCATGCGCTACATTGGAGGGCTCCACTGGCTACCACAACGGCGCCTCCAGGAGAACGACGCTGTGGCGCCGCCGTCGCCGCTCAGTTTTGCTAGCCATCATCACCAATGGTTGTGGCTGGGCAAGGATTTCACCCTGGCTCTTGATCGCCGACCACAAAAGACCACCAACGCCACCATGTCCATCGGGGAGGGAGCAGGTGAGCGGGTCAGGGCAGAGACAGGGAAGCAGCTTGCTGAAGTTGTCCACCGTCGTAGAGAAGGGATTAGCACAGTCACGTCTAAGGACAGGGGAGTCACCTGCAGCACCACCAACAGGCCGCTGCTGCCTGCCGCCTCCAGCTAGCTGCCTGCAGCTGTCAGGCCGAAGAGGTGCCCGGCAGCATGGGGGCAAGACGCCGGCCAGATCTGATGGAGCAGTGGCCACACAGATCTGGGCCACCTGTTGATCCCTGCTGGATGCTCCGCTGGGCAGCCCTGCTGGCACAGTCGACCACCCACCAAGGAGACGCAGGACAGGACCATAGTGACACAACACAGCCAGGATACGGTGACCAAAGGATGTGGGGAAAGGCCCTGCTACGGGTTGGTACCGTGTCGCAAGTCACCTTCGGCGGCTGAGCCGCTTGATCGCGGGGTGGAAGTACTTGAATGCTAAATAGACTACCTTTCAGTTGCACCTTTGGTAACTTGTTTACATGTATACATTTGCAGGCGATAGTACCAATGTATGGGAACTATGAAGAACCTCACCAAATAGGAGAACCAAAGAGGTACCAGGTCGCAGGGCAGGTGCTTTCCTCTCTTGTTCGTAATAGCTTTATCTTGTGATAGTAATAGTTCCTTTTGAAAACATGTTCTTTGTACAGGATATGGAGGTAAAATATCATCATGCATACATAGATGGCGTGGATTTTGTGTTTATCGACAATCCTATCTTCCACAATGTTGAGAGTGAAATTTATGGTGGAGACCGAACAGTAAGTAATGTAATATTCTGCTTACTATACTAAATTGCATATTTGCAAAAGCTGAGATGATATTTATGTTGTAGCAGCCAGTTGTCTTTGCCTTTTGGGGTTGCTTATTATTGAGACGAGTAGGTCAATTTTTTTCTGCAGGATATCTTGAAACGAATGATCTTATTGTGCAAAGCAGCTGTAGAGGTAAATTCTCTTGCGACTAAGCCATTTCTCTCTCCAGGCACGGACAATCCATAAGAACATGTACATTTATTTCATGGAAATAAGTACACAAACACTTAACATGTACATTAACATTGTTTTGCTCTGCTTTTTCTATGATTGGCATCTTTCTTCCTCAATATGCTAATAGAAAACGTAATGACCTTGATCTAGGCTCCATGGTGTGTTCCATGTGGTGGTTTTTGCTACGGTGATGGAAATCTTGTATTCATAGCAAATGACTGGCACACTGCATTACTGCCTGTTTATTTGAAGGCTTATTATCGTGACAATGGTTTCATGATATATGCCCGCTCTGTCCTTGTGATACACAATATAGCACATCAGGTAACGTTTCTTCCCCTTAATCTCACTTTTATCTGATATGTACTCCCTCTGTAAACTAATATAAGAGCGTTTATATTAGTTTATGGAGGGACTATTTCAGTATTTGTCCCACTCTTTTGCTATGTATTCCGTGGATTTTACATGGAAATGAGCATTCCGTGGATGTCATCAAGATGGGCATGGTTTCTGGAATGCTCTTATGAGCTTTAATTTTGCAAATTCACAAACAATATATACATAGTTATTCAATAATGGAGAAATTTAAAAAATAGTCACTCATATAGCAAAACAGTACTCCCTCCGTAAACAATATAAGAGTGTTTAGATCACTCAGAGGGAGAACATCCTATCCACACGAGGATCCAGAAAAGACGTTTTTTACTGGAGAGCACAACGTATCAGTTATTGTACATTGTCTTCATAAATGTAGTTCCTTACAGTTACAGATGACGGCAACAGTATCAGTTAGCGTATGCTGTCATTATAATTTCTTCTGTTTCCAGCCTTGGGTAGTTCTATAGTGTAAATTTGTAATCCTAGTCTGTTTGTTGCTTTGGTGTTACAATTGTTCTCTATCAAACATAGTATCAGTTAGCTTATGTTGTCACTTTAATTTCTGTTCCAGGGCCGTGGCCCCTTGGACGATTTCAGTTACCTGGATTTGCCCAGTAACTACATGGACCTTTTTAAACATCATGACCCATTTGGAGGTGATCATCTAAACATATTTGCTGCTGGGATTAAAGCTGCGGACCGTTTACTTACTGTTAGCCATGGTTATGCATGGGAGCTCAAAACGACTGAAGGTGGTTGGGGCCTTCATGGGATCATTAACGAAAGTGATTGGAAATTCCAAGGCATTGTAAATGGTATCGATACCACTGATTGGAATCCTAGGTGTGATGTCCACCTGAAATCAGATGGATACAGCAACTATTCTCTGGAAACTGTTGAAACAGGTAAAGCACAGTGTAAAGCGGCATTGCAGAAAGAACTTGGTCTCCCGGTTCGTGGGGATGTTCCTGTGATTGCTTTCATCGGACGGCTAGACAATCAAAAAGGCATAGACTTGATAGCAGAAGCAATGACATGGATAGCTGGTCAAGATGTACAGGTAATACTGCTGGGTACCGGGAGGCAAGACCTCGAAGACACATTGAGGAGGCTTGAAAGCCAGCACTACGACAGAGTTAGGGGTTGGGTTGGTTTCTCTGTCAGGCTGGCTCATCGTATGACCGCAGGAGCTGATATACTGTTGATGCCGTCAAGGTTCGAGCCTTGCGGGTTGAACCAGCTCTATGCAATGATGTATGGGACCGTGCCCGTGGTGCATGCGGTGGGTGGCCTTCGAGACACCGTCCAGCACTACAATCCATATGAGGAGGCTGGGGTTGGTTGGACTTTTGAAAATGCGGAAGCAAACAGGATGATCGATGCGCTGGGGCACTGCCTGAACACGTACAGGAACTACAAGTCTAGCTGGGAGGGACTCCGGAGGAGAGGGATGATGCAGGACCTAAGCTGGGACACTGCTGCTAAACGCTATGAGGAGGTTCTTGTTGCTGCCAAGTATCAGTGGTGACTGGGGAGTGGATCCAAGAGCTTACTGATGGTTGTCATTCACAGACTGGAAGACGCTCTTGATGTGTGTTGGCCCAGTATCCCAAGTTGAGCATGTTGGTTGAAACTGGAAGACGAAATCTTTCCTGTAAGAGCCCAAGCCATTCTCAACAGTGCAACTGTTAGCCTACTTCCTAGACGAAAGCTGCTGAAGAGGTGTTTCTTTGGAGGAGGTTTAAGCGGCACATAGAAGATTCAGCGGGCAGCGGCAAACATCCTCCCTTTTGAAGGATGCATTTCTGAAGCCGCCTCTGTTTCCACAGGATGAGCTCAGTTAGATGCTTCATTTAGCTCAGTAGAGTACCTACCAGCTAGCTCGGGAATCATTGCTTGGTTTATTTGATTGATTGATAGCTGGGTTGTACATCCCGTCTAGGAGTTCGCTGTTGGGTTGGTCATTTCTTAGAGCAAAGTCATGTAAATAGACAGTTGTAGCATGAGGTTACCTGGCTTTGAGCGGTCCATGTAATTACTACGTACTCCCTCTGTCCGAAAATAGTTGTCATCAAAATGGATAAAAAATCAAAATGGATAAAAAGAGATATATCTAGAACTAAAATACGTCTAGATACACCGAAAGTGCTATTGTGAGCTCGAGCTCACAGGCACCCTTTGCTACAGTACAAACAAAAAAAATATTTAAAAAGTTCAAAAAAATCTGAATTTTTTTGGCAACAAACATTGACATATTTTTCACATGCGTACAAATTTTCATGACAAAATGACATTCATGCAGGTCTCAGCAAAAAAAACAAAATCGATGCTCAAAAATGCTTCCAAAAACAGTTTTTTTGGAGCATGATTTTGTTTTTTTTGTTGACACCTCCACAAATGTCATTTCATCACGAAAATTGGCACGCATGTAGAAAAAACATCAAAGTTTCTTGACAAAAAAATTCAGATTTTTTTGAATTTTTTTACTATTTTTTCGGATTTTACTGTTCATCCGGGATCACTGGTGCCCGGGATCAATTCCTCCGCGTCCTAGATACATCCCTTTTTATCCATTTTGATGACAAGTATTTTCGGACGGAGGGAGTACTATATATATTAGTTTTTCGTTTCCCGTTGGTCTGGGTTTCGCGATGCTGCATACCATGCTTGAGTCTGTAATAATGCCGATCAGGGTCAGGGTCAGGGTCAGGGTCAGCCGGTGGCTTGCGTCTCGGGACATGCATGTTTCAGTCGAGGGATGTCCGTCCAATCGTCGCATGCAGCGATCGTGCGTGTTGGCAAACCCATAGGAGATGCCGGAGAAGAAGTGGTCCAGAACAGGATACAAGGTATCACCACCACCAGAGTGCTTCACCTGACAAGTTCCTTGTCTTCTGTGAAAGGGTTTCTTCCTCCCCCGCCTCCAGGACACGGCAGCTCACGTGTGCAACCATATAAATGTAGGTGTAGGCACGTAGCCTCTGCAACCAAGTACCGCATACTCGCCAGCTACATTCCTCAGAGACGCAACAAGTTATTCAGCAGAAATCAGCCATGGCCGCCATCGCAGGCCGCGCGTACGAGGACTTCGTGCCGCCGCACAACATGGTCACCGAGCCGGCGACCCACACCCTCTCCGTCGATCTCACCGCCGCAGGCACGCACCGCAACCCCCCTACATATATTAGTACCTCTTCTTTGCTGACTTCTTCAGCCGCATCGCATGAGTTGTTATATCATATGCCGGGATCATGGATCAGCTTGTGTTGATTTAGTTAGTACGATGTGCCGATTGCAGGGTACAAGAAGGAGCACATCAGGGTGCAGCTGGTCCGCAGCCACGGGCTAGTGGTCGTGCGCGGCGAGCGCGCCGTCGCGGGCAACCGCTGGAGCCGCTTCCGCCTCGAGTTCCGCGTGCCCGACGGCTGCGACCTCAAGGGCATCCACGCGAGGTTCGAGGGCGGCGTCGTGCGGGTCACCATGCCCGGGCTAAGGACCGCGGTCGGCGACGTCTCTGGTAAGCAGGTGCCCCCGGCGGCCAAGGCTGATGCTTCCGGCGTTGGAGCAGGAGACAAGGAAGACGAGAACGTGCAGAAACAGCCGGCGGAGGAGCGCGGGGCCGACGCGGTCAAAGATAGTGCCCGCCTCGATCAAGGACAAGATAGTGGCCGCCTTGATCAAGGACAAGGTACCCCTGCCGACGGCGTCCGGGGAGTGGAGTCGCCGGCGACGTCGTCAGGCCGCGGATACAGCTACCTCCCTGAACGGAGAAAGCTTGTGACCACCGTGGTTGGCGCGGTGCTCGTCCTGTTTAGCCTTGGCATCTACGTCAGGTACAGCTTCGGCCCATGAGCTGAGGCAAGAAGCGTTGACTACTCGACGTCAGATGAGCGATGAGCCTAAACGATTTGGCGCCAAAACGTTGTGCAAGTGCGATAGTGCTAAGCGATGCTCGGGTTGACTCAATTGTATCCTAAACCTAAACTACAGCTGCTTAAGATTCATGATGAATCATGACGGCTTCCTTAATCTGGTACCAACATGTACTCACCTCTCTCTATATAAGCACTCTTATAACAAATCCTCTGCTCTAGTATAAATCAAATCCTGCACCACAATACAACATTCTAAACTTTAATAAGAATCGGAATCATTTCTCCTTGTTGGCTATTTATAAATTTACAGCCCTCAAATCACCATCATAATTCTGCTTTGAGGTTCAAAGTAGAGTTCAAAAGCAAACACCTGAACAAATTATTTGTCCTTTTTAGGGAAGACAGTTTATTTGTCAGAATAAACCTAATGGCAACACGGGCGGCTCATTTCTTTCGATGATTCTGGCACTCGCAATAACGAAAGCCCGCATTTCTTCTTGTGACGCGATGGCGTTCCCGTGCTTCCGCCCTCCGCCGGTGCAGGCTATCCTCGGCGTCGGCGTCGGCGGTTTCTCCGCGGCGCCCCGCCTCAGCTGCCTGGAGATCTCGCGCAGGTAGCCGCCTACACCGCCGCCCTTCGTCTCCTCCTGCTTCCCCGGCGAGCGCGCGCGGGCATTGCTGGTATTGGAGCTCCGCGGCAGCTTGCTGCCGAAGCACGGCGGCTGATGAGACGTTCTGAACCCGAGCTGATCCCCGACAGAGGAGGAGGCAGTTGAGGAAGCGGGGCTGGAGGAGCCCGACACGGATGCATCACCGGCTGGCGGCGGCCGCCGGTTCTTTCGCTGTCGGTGCCCCTTCCTGTTCTCCGTGGACGGCGATGCCGAAACCACGTCGCCCTTGGGCGCGGCCTTCTTCTTCTCCTTGCCGCCGAGCGCGCCGAAGCACTTGGGCGAGGCGGACCGGCTGCGCTGAAGAGGCACCGTCTGCAGCCCGACCCCGTCGCCGAGCGAGGAGATCGAGGAGGACGCGGAGGGGGAGGAGCCTGCCGACGACGACACGGCCGGCGCCTGTGCGCCCACGCTCGACGCCCGCGGCGGCGGCGACGAGTTTTCGTGTTCGTGACCGACGGCCAGCGCCATTGTCGCACACACGGCGCAGGGGAGCAACCACGCTACGGCGGTTGATCTGGAACGTCTGAATCGCGCGGGCCGAGTTTGGGTGGAATGGGTTATGGATGAGTCGGTGATGTAGCCACTGTGCATGGGCCACCGTCATACTCATATGCGTGCGCACATTTACAGATTGCGCTGAGAGAGACACGGCGGCCATTACGGCTGCACTCGTGCGTCTTCCCTCAAATGCCATCCGGCCTTTGCCAAAATCATGGTTAATTTGTGGCGAGTTTTAGTTGCTTCCATGTTTAGTCATGTTTTATTTACGAAAAGAATCCAGATCTTCTATCAAAGTTCATTGAAAATACAAAACACCTCAAAACATGCAACAAAATTACATCAAAATTACGAGACCATCGAATGACCAGTACCATCGCTAGAACGAGGTGCCGACACGCCGCAGTCACCGCTCTCCTACCAGAGTTGGTTTGACCTCGTCGGTGACAACCAAAAAGTCATTGTGCAGGCCCCCTAAGGACCAGCTCCCTAGAGCCGCAGTCATTGACGTTGGACCCTTGAATAGTTCTAAAGCACATGACACCAAATCTTGTCACACGATGAGAAACCCTAACCTCATCGCCCAAGGAGACGACAGTAATCTACGCCGCAGCTCCATCGACTACGTCCAGATGGACAAATTTATAAAACAATCAAAGCCCAAAAGACAAACTCGAAGAAAAAGCTTCGCACCAACAACAACTAAAAAACCTTAACCTAAACTACTAGCTGGACAAGGAACATGGAAAGAAAAGCCAAAGACCTATTACACCTTTATCCTATCCCTATGAGATTTCAACACTGGCGGATTAGGAATACCACAGTTCCTCTAACCATCCAACTATAGGTTGGTTCGCCATTTTTCAGTGAAAATTAGTATGTAAACCCTTCTGTGTATGCTTGGGTAACAGTTTAGACGAAAATTGTAGAACATGACAAGGATGGACCAATAACTTGCAAAATGGGCTATTGCTGGTTTTTCGGGCCTAATTTGTATCATTTTTTTAAATTTTCTTACCCTTTCCATTCATATGCCTCAAGTTGGATCTTTCGGAATAATAAAGATGCCTTAGGTTGGATCCATCAACATTCTTGGGCAAGGTCATAGGGGCATGCTTGTTGACTGGGAGCTTTGGAGGTAGAGACGTTGAGTATGTATTTTGTGTTGCATGTATTTTGGAGTTGTGACCTACCTCCTAGTTTTGTATAATTGAAGTAGAGGTCTTCCCTGTAATTATATATACGTGCACCAGAACCCCATCAATACAAGTCAATTGTATTGCAAATTTTCCCATCTACATGGTATCATCTATGAAGGTCCTGACCTAGGGCGAAGCCGCCACCACCGCCGTGCCACTCCCTCGTGCCGCCGCCGCCGCCGTCGCGCCTCTCCCTCCCCGCACCGTCGCCGCCCCGTGCCGCCCGCTTCCGCTTACCCTGCCACGTGCCTCCCTCCTCCCGCGCGTGCACCACCCCTCTGACGCGTGCCACCCGCGCTACCTCTCGCGTCGTGCCGCCGCCTTGCCGCCGCTGCCCTCACCCGCCGCACAGACGCTGCAGCCGCATCTCCCTGACACTGCCGCCCTCTTTTCTCCCTCCTCCACAAAACCCTAACCCTAGCCGCCGTCCTTCACCACCGCCATCGCTCCCATGGATTTCTCCCCGGGCTCCTCCACCACCCGCTCGTCGAACCCCTTTTGCCGGTCCCGAGCCCTCCGCCGCCGCCATCCGTGACCTCAACATCGAGGCACAGGTCCCGACCCGTCTCGACAGCTCTAGCACGTCGTACTACGTGTGGAAGACCTACTTCAACCTCATCTTCTGTGAGTATTATCTCACCGAGCACATCGACGGTTCCGTGGACAGCGCGTACATGCGCGGCGATCCGGAGTGGTCCGCCATTGATGCCACGATCATCCGATGGTTCTACTAGACAGTCTCGAAGGACATCTTCCACACGGTTGTCGCCGAGGACGACGATGCCTGTGACGTGTGGGCCAAGATCAACGCGCTCTTCACCGACAACAAACTCCAACACCTTGTTTTCTTGTAGCAGGAGTTCTTCGGCTGTCACCAGGACAACTCCACCATCGATGAGTACTGCATGAGGCTCAAGATGCTCGCCGACGAGCTTCACGACATCGGCGCTAAGGTCTCTGACGACCTCATGCTGAGCACCCTCACCGCCGTCCTTAACGAGGACTTCGGCAACGCGACATCCAACCTCACCCTGCTGCCGCAACCCACTTTCTAGCGCGTCGTCGCGTACCTCAAACTTGAGGAGGGCCGGATGACGAAGCTGAAGCAGCGGGTCCAGCACACCGCCCTCGTCGACGGCACCACCCGCGGCGGCCCTGCTCCTCCAGCCGCGCCTCGTCCGCCCGCGCCGCCCGCGCCCACCGGCTACTACTCACTGCCAGCTGCACCGCCTGCGCCCCCACACCTCCCCAGCAGCCCCTACTAGCCCTACGGTGCTCCGCTCGCGTCGCTACCCCTCGGTGGCTACGGCGCGCCCGCCCAGCCTCCTCCCTATGGAGGTCAACTGCCGCCGCCGGTTCCTGCACCGTCGGACCCCGCCCTCCTGGCCGCCCTACACTCGGCGCCATTGCCGAGTAACTATGGCGGTGGAGGCGACTGGTACATGGACTTAGGTGCTACTTCGCACATGACATCTCATCCTGGTAACCTATCCTCTTCCACTCCCATTAACACTTCCACCCGTATCACTGTTGGCAACGGTTCTTCTTTACCTATTACTCATGTCGGTAGCACTAGTTTTCCTTCCAGTTCCACACCTATCACTATGTCTAGTGTCCTTGTCTCACCTGACTTAGTCACTAGTTTAGTTTTCGTTCATCATCTTACTCGTGAGAATCCACCTACTGTTGGATTTGACGGTGTTGGTTTTTCTATGAAGGACGCCCGTACCCGGATGATGCTTCACCGATGTGATTGCCCTGATGAGCTTTATCCCATGCACGCCGGCGCCTCCACCTCCACACCCGTCGCCCTCGCCGCCGGCGTCAACCTTTGGCATGCTCGCTTGGGCCACCCCAACCCCGCCATTTTGCGTCAGATTCTTAGGAGTTTTTATTTTCATGTAGTAAGCTCGACGAGCATACTTGTGAGGCTTGTCGTTTGGGCAAGCATGTTCGTATTCCCTTTAGTGCGTCTACTTCAGTTTCCACTTTTCCGTTTCAACTACTTCATAGTGATGTTCGGACGTCTCCCGTTGCGAGTAACACGGGCTATCTATACTACTTGGTGATTTTAGATGATTATTCTCATTATGTGTGGAGTTTTCCTCTTCGTCGTAAATCCGATGCTTTAGCCACACTCACCGCCTTTTATTCCTATGTCACCACCCAGTTCGGTCGCCCCACACTCGCACTCTAGACTGATAACAGACAAGAGTTCGACAACGTCGCTCTCGGCACACTTCTCGCCTCTCACGACATCACCTTTCGTCTGACTTGCCCTTACACTTCGTAGCAGAACGGCCGCGCCGAGCGCATTCTCCGCACTCTTAATGACTGCGTTTGCACGTTACTCTTTCACTCTAACGTGCCCGCTCGGTTTTGGACCGATGCTCTCGCCACCGCCACCCTCTTAGTTAACATTCATCCGTGTCGTCCTCGATGGAACTACGCTCCTCACTACCTTCTCTTCGGTACACTACCATCCTATGATGGTCTCCGCATCTTTGGGTGTCTCTGTTATCCTAGCACCGCGTCCACTACGCCACACAAACTTGCATCATGTTCCATCCCATGTGTCTTCCTTGGATACCCTCCTAACACCAAAGGTTACCGGTGCTATGATCCCGTCACTCATCGTGTGTACACCTCGAGGCACGTGTACTTTGTCAAGACGGTGTTCCCTTTTTTCCAGGTCTCTCCGGCTTCGGCTCCCTCAGCGCCGACACCCGCGTCCCCTTCCTGGAGTGATGCACGGTGGCGCCCCCCGAAGGCCCCCCCCGGCACGGCACCTTCTGCCGCCACCGCCCGGTTTTTCGATTCCCTCCCCAGAGGTCGAGTCTGACCGGGCCCCCGGGTCCCCGTCTCCCTCCTACGAGGTTAAGCCGGCGGGTACCCCGCCCGCAACCTGGCTGGCGCCGTCACCTCGGCGAAGGGCTCGACATCCTCCTCGCCCGTTGCCCCCTCGGTCGCAGGCTCGGCCAGCGCTGCCGCGGCCCCAGACCCTGCGGCCCCCGTCGCCGTCGCCGCCCCTGCTGCCCCGCCTCTTGGCGTGACGACCCATGCCCGAGCAGGAGTGCTTCGGCCGAGCACGCACTACTCTTCCGATCAGTATGTGTGCGCCGCCTCGACATCGACGCCATCACCCATCCCCACCTTCGCTCGCGCTGCCTTCAGGATCCCCACTGGCCAGCTGCGATGCAGGAGGACTTCAATGCCTTATAGTGTAACCGCACGTGGCTGCTTGTTCCGCGACCCCATCGTGCCAACATCATCACTAGCAAGCGGGTGTTTCACCACAAGACCCGCCCGGACGGTTCTCTCGAGCGCTACAAGGCTCGGTGGTTGGTTCGTGGATTTCGGCAGCGTACAGGCGTGGACTTCACCGACACCTTCGCCCCGGTTGTTAAACTGGGCACGATCTGCGTCGTGCTTCAATTGGCGGTCTTGCGCGCCTGGCCTGTGCACGAATTGGATGTCTCTAACACCTTCTTGCATGGCCAGCTTGCCGAGCAGGTGTTCTGTGAGCAGCCCACTGGCTTCGTCGACGCCGAGCACCCAGACTTGTGTGCTTGCTCCCCCGTTCTCTTTACGGGTTGAAGAAGGCACCTCGGGCTTGGTATCAGCATATCGCAGCCTTCCTACAGTCCCTGGGGTTTCAATCCACTCGCTCCGATGCTTCACTCTTCGTGTATCATCAGGGAGCTAACACTGCATATCTGCTGCTCTACATCGACAACATCATCCTCACAGCGTCCGCCCCCGATCTCCTTCAGCGGCTGACTGCTCGTCTTCGTGATGAGTTCGCCCTCAAGGACTTGGGGCCTCTGCACTACTTCCTCGGCATCGAGGTGGTCCGACGGACTGACAGCTTCTTTCTGCATCAGCAGAAGTACGCCCACGAGCTCCTGGAGCGTGCCGGCATGCTTAACTGCAAGACGGCGCCCACCCCCATCGACACGAAGGCGAAGGTCTCTCCTTTGGAGGGGTCTCTCGCGTCCGATGCAGCATTCTATCGCTCCATTGTTGGTGCTTTATAGTACCTGACGCCGACTCGACCTGACCTGCAATACATTGTCCAGCAGGTGTGCCTCCACATGCATGCTCCGCGTGACTCCCATTGGACCTTGGTGAAGCGTATTCTCCGTTATATATGTGGCACCATGTCTTTGGGACTCACCCTGAGACGGCCTCCGCCTCCACCGACCTTGTGACCTACTCGGATGCTGATTGGACTGGCTGCCCCGACACTTGACGCTCCACGTCAGGCTACTGCGTCTACCTTGGGCCCTCGTTGATCTCTTGGTCATCGAAGCGGCAACCCACGGTCTCCCGCTCCAGCGCTGAGGCAGAGTATCGCGCCGTGGCTAGTGCCGTGGCCGACTGCTCTTGGATCCGTCGGCTGCTCCAGGAGTTGCTTTCTGATGTTCACAAGGCCACTCTTGTCTACTGCGATAACGTCATCGGGGTCTACCTTTCCGCCAACCCGGTGCAACATCGACGTACGAAGCATATTGAGCTCGATATTCACTTCGTGCGCGAGCGGGTTGCCCTCGGCCGTGTTCGGGTTCTTCACGTGCCGACATCGCAACAGTTTGCTGATGTGATGACTAAGGGATTGCCTACTTCCGTCTTCGAGGAGTTTTGGT